GAGTGAGACTTGAACTCTGCACGTTTATTATAATTGAATGGCCCTTTATAAGGTATAGATGGTCACTTTGACCACAAAGGGTTCTCTTTTAAAAACTTTCTTTTGATATATATATATATGTCACGTGGTAATTATATGGCATATGATTAGAGAGAGAGATTTACATATCTAAAGTGGATTTCCAAAGGCGTGCAATTTTGTGAGTTGGAAATATTTAGATGAATTAAGGAGGCTGATGGGCTTTGGGGAAATATGGGGGCAATTTGAATGAATATATAAATATTTGAATTCAGTTTTTATTTGATTTGGATGAAGGGAAGTGATATAGAAATAAATTTTTTTTTATTTTTTATATAATTTTATATGTTATTAAATGAATAAAAATATTTAATATTATGATTTTAAATAAATAGAAGAAGTTAATCATTTAAATGATAAATAAAATTATATAAAAAATATTAATCATTTAAATGATAAATAAAATTATATAAAAAAAATATTTTTGAACATTTTCCTTTAGCTAATTGGACTCTAACTCCTGAATTAATGGAAGGAAGATTATCATGACAAGGTGATCCTATCTCCCCATTTTTGTTCCTAACAGTGGTTGAAGGGTTTCATGTATTAATGCAGATGGCCCAAATTAAGGAAAGGTTTGTTCGAAAGGATTATTGTCGGCAATAATGGGCTTACTTTACAGCATCTCTAGTTTGCGGATGACAGTCACTGTTGGTGAGGCGTCCATAGAGATCAAATAGGTTGTGGAATGTGTTTTAGGTTATGTCTGGTTTGAGGGGAGGGGAACAGAGGGGAGGGTAAGGAGTGATTCTTTTATTAATCAAATTATAATATCTAAAAATATTATAAGGAAATAATGTTTAATTATCTTACTTTTTAAATATTAGAAGAAAATTATTTTAAAATTATATCGTTTTAATAAATTTTCATTAAAAAAAATTAAAATATCTTACTTTTAAAGTATCAATTAAAGTGTTTTTTTTTTTTTTTTTTTTTGGAGGAAGAAATGAGAGTTTTGGTGTGTAAGTCTATTGTTGTGCTGCATGCACCTCTCCCTCTGTTCTTGAAAATAATGGGTAGATAATTTTTATATATATATGTAGTGGTATTGTTGTAATTTCTAGTTGGTGGCTTAGAGGTCTGCAGAAAGGTTGGGGTAAGCTGTCGAATTTTTGGTAGTTCCAGGCATTGTTGGCAACTCTATGACAGTGGCATCATGAATTGCCCAATGGTCCCAACGAAGTTTTGCTAGTTCTGGCAAAGAAACTGGAAATTGTATATTTTTGGCAATATCCCCAGC